TAAATTTCCCAAAATAAAATATTTAGGTGGCGACTCTATATCTGGCGAAGCAGTCAATGTTTGGCACTTCTTTCAAAAATCTGTTTTCTCAAAACGATTTGCCGGATTTGGACTCTTTGGTTCAGATTTAGAACCATGACAAATTTGAGAGTCCTGAGCTGTAGTGAACCCAAACGAACAGAACGGGAGCTCGTTCCTCCCGGGGCGTTCGGGGACGTCTACAATATACATATGATTTTGAACTTTAACAAGTATGCCATGGTTAAGACATTGTTATAAAACTCTTGCAAATGTAATAACGTACATTCGAACGGAACATCCCGGACGTTGGGGGAAATTAAAGATACCAACGGGTAAGGCGTTACAAGGGTGGTTGTTGGAACGCGACCATCGTCCATTGGCATGATCATGACCACTTGATATTAGTATGGGTAGCTCCCTACTTCTCTGGCAACATATCCAGTCGAATGGACATATGTATGTATATTTTGATATATATATATATATATAAGAGAATTTATTTTGTCTTTTTAGCCATTGGGCTTTTGAACATGAACAGTTATGCTTGAAACTTGAAATATTTATGTTTGAACCGTGGGAAACTTGTAAATTGTGTAAATATGTTCTCACAAGCTTTATAGCTCACGGGTGTGTTACTAACCCATTTCAGGTAAGGAGAATGCTTAGTGGATAACCAAAGGCCTATTTTTGTGGTGTCTCGTGGCCTGGGATGGATTCTAGACCTATAGTTTTATATAAGTCATGTATTACCTCTTTTTTTGGTATGGGGCCAAGTTATTGTTGTAACTTAACTTTCCTTTATGACTTGCATGACTTATATAGCAACGTTCTAGTTAAATGTAATCACCTAGTATTTGCAATGATTTATTTATTTGTTCTCTAAACTAGTTAGTAGTAGGCCTAGGGTGCGAGATGAGGCGCTGATCGGTCGTGATTCCGATTAGCCCCTATTTCGGGTCATGACAGGAAATGTTGTGTGGAGGAATTGAAAATGGATAAAATATTGCACTGCATTAATTGATACATTGACATATCCGTTCATTGATAATGAAAAGCTTTGAAATTTGATTTGAAAACTTTGCAATGAAAAAAGAATGCTAAGAAATAAGTTTTCATGAAATGATTTTGGAGTAAATACGGTGGTGAGTCTTGAAAGGTAGTGTAGATTATGGGTGTCGAGCCTTCCAGTTAATACTGGTAAAAATGACAGATTAAAGGTGTCGAAACTTCCGGTTAATACCAGTAAAAATGACAAATTAGTAGTACTGGTATAGTCTACTTGCAGACACTGACCTAGGGATTTACGGAATTGTATTTACCGCCCCTTGAATTAAATTGATAAATTTTGAACAATTGAAGTTGCATAACATCATTGAGCATGATGATTTTTAAAAGATGAAGAGGTGTTTTGCTTTCAAAAAGGCATGGCATAGCATAAGCATTCCACCTCACGAGACTTATGTAAAATATATATACTTTGTCAAGAATTCTCTACTGAGCTTTATGCTCACACTACGAGATTTTTGTATAGGAAAAGATGTGGTGATTCCGCCTAACTGAAGGCGTGGAAATGTGTGCAGAGAGCATAATGTACTCATTTGCTGTGACTTTGATTGTAAGCTAAGGGTTTTGTATGTGTGGGTTTGAATAACCGTTTTGTGTAATCAGGCTCAGGCCTTGGAACTTGTAAACCCTTAGAAGTATTTGTTGTTTTAATTAATTGTTGTTGGATTAATTGTACTATCGCATAAAGACTATTTGCATCATGTAATGCAAGTGTGATGATTTATTATCAGTTTTACTTTAAAGGGGCCATGATTATTGTATTATCATTTGGGCATGAAAATTGGAGTGTTACAGTGGCTGAAAATTAAAATTAGTGACATTTTTTGTGACGGATTTTTTAAACTGTCCTTGAAACTTATAATTAGTGATATTTTTTGTGACAATTTAAACTGTCATTAAAAATTAACAATTAGTGATGTTTTTTAATAGTGTTTGATGAAAAACGTCATTAATTATCATATGACCTATTGGACAATAAGACAACCTATTAGGATCTACATGTAAGTCCTCCATTTTTTAATGAATGATATATATATATATATATAGGGTTTGATAAAATGAACGATTTAAATTATCAAAATCCTAAACGATTTGGATCATCAAAACTGAACCCATGATTAGCACTCTCCAGTCCAGATTTAGATAGGAGGGAAGCCCAATCCTTATTTTCTGTAATAAGTTTTGTAATTAATTTTGTATTGTAAAATTATTACGGTGCACAAATTTATTAACAACAAAACACACAACTCTAATATGAGATTAGCACTTAAAAGAATGATTAATGTTATGGTACCAGATTTGTTATCATAAAAATTGTTAAGAATGTTGCATTGTGTGTTGTAATAAATCTTATCTATACAATATAAATTCTGAATAAATTTTTAATTTTTTTAAATTTTGTTGGCTACATATTTTGTAAAAGCCAGTTACAGTTCGACACGTGGCAGAGTAAGGGTAATAAAGGAAGGTTATTCAAGCCTTTAATCCTGATCGTACACGTGGCAATAAATATTGGTCCTCACATGATCTGAGTAACACTAGATCAAAAACGGGATGCAAGATGACATATCTTCAACGGTTACTCATATTCAAATTCAAGTACAAGATGGAAGCTCAACTGCCAGTAATGGCATAATGGAGCTACTTGTAAGGAAGCATGATCAGCGATCATAGAGGAGCAGTTCGACGGTTCAAAGTGCAGTTCGAAGGTCATCACTGACGAGTATAAATAGCAGGGCAGCCCCCAGAAAAAAGGACGGACTCAGATCATACAAATCAGTCATTTACTTCATATATTTTCTTTTCCAGTCTTTTACATTTCCAGTCTTTAAATACCTGTTCTTTAAATACCTGCACTTTAAATACCCGCACTACACTTCGATTCATAGGAGTAGCTTCAAGTAGATTCAAGTAGATTGCTGTTGTAAACCTCTCCGAGGCTGAGTTCGGACCATTGTAAGTGTTCATTTTTATGAAATACTTCAATTGAGGCTTTTTGGCTATTTTAGTTTGTGTTTGGGAAGATGGGATGGATTTTTATTTGAGTTGGTGTATTGAAAAATGTGTTGAAATGATGTTTGAAGTTAAAATGATGGGAAATGGATTGTAATTCACTTCCCAGATTATAATTATAACTCACTTCCTCTCTCACAAAAAAGTTATTTATAAGCAACTTTTAACTAAAAAGCTGATTATAACCATCTTCTCAAAATAGCCCTCAGCTGTTAATTGTTTCAAGTGAAAACTACATGGACTCCTATGTTAATACAACAATGCTACATACCACTAAAAGTGGGGCTCTAAAGCACTACTAATAAGTTGGCACACACTTTGAAAAAAAAGACAAGGCATATCAACACTGTGACAATAGGTGGGGTCCACTGCCGTATCATTAATGCTACCACTAATTAGTGTTCTCAAGCATTTTTTATGTTAATAATACTGTCTATAAAGGATTGCCTTAAGGGACATAGAATTGATGATGGAGTCAATCAAAGAAAACATAAATTAAATAATTAGATTATATATTTATATATTAATCCTTAGGGATTAGTTTAGTGGGTACAACTTGATGGTTGGGGATGTGCTCCCTCCAAATCTCAAGTTCAACTCCTTAGGGACATACCTGCAGGTTCTGCCTAAGATTTACCCAGTCCATATGGTAGGAGTACTTTGCTTTGGTCCCAAGATTAGTCGATGTGTTCGTAAATTAATCTAGACAATCGATCATAAAAAATGTATATACGTATATAATTTTTTTAATTTTAATTTAGAGCTTGTTTTGCATATTGGATATTAGTACACTTTTTTTTTTTTTTTTTTTTTTTTTTTTTTTTTTTTTTTGGATCATATTGCCTCTCTACATTTTTTACACATCTTTTCGTAAAAAATAAAAAAATATATACTTATTTAAATCATTCTAAATAATTCTTTAGAGTTCAACCATTAATCTATCTTCCAGTTCAAAAAAAAAAAAAAAAAGACCATTAATCTATCTTTTCTTTGTTAAAATAAAATAAAATAAATAAACAAACTGTTACGGAAGCGCTTGTCCGCATGAACTAATATGATAAATATAACTATACCATAAATTCAGAAAATAATATTGAGAGAAACAAATTTATACATCACAATTATTTTGAATATAGTCCATACCTCACTAATTTTAAATATACAACATACAACTCCTTTCAGGATAGATTTCGGAATAACTTTGCATTATCCATAGCATTTCTAAAAAATAATTACAAAAATATTAGATACACAAAATTATAATACAAAAATTACACTGTATAGTTTATATTGGGGATGTTTGGGAAGTTAATTGGTGTTTTTTTTTTTTTTTTTGGCTAAAATAGTTAATAAAGGTAAAATATGTTAAAATAATCAATAAGACAAAATATCACATTCAAACTATAATCATTTAGTTTTTTTTCTCACAACTATCAAATCAATTATAAAAATAGAAATAGAAAATAAAAAAAACCCAACTATATCATCCCAAACATAATTTTTTTAACCAAATTAAAATAATTAAAAAATCAACTAGAAGTTCTAAAATTAACCTATTTATTCAAATGTGACAAGTGAGGATAAATACTTAATGTGCACCGACTATTTTTATAATAATAAGAAGAAGAATAATAAAAGAAAGAAAGAAAAACCCACAACTTCTTAATATACATACAAGGGACAAATGCAAATGACATCTTGTTTGTGTTGAAGAGAACCTTATACCTGCCGGTATCTTTGACAAATTTAATCTCATCCTCTAGCTTCTTTTCTTCTTCTTTCTTTGTTTGAAGTTTAGGCATTCAAAGGGATTGAATCAAAGGCGAAAAGATTTCAGACCAGATCTGAGCCTATCGATTCACCCATGGAAGATTGTTCATCTTCTCAATACCTAAGGTTTGACATCATGCCTGAATCTCCATTCGCTGAGATAAATTTTCGTAAACAAGCTGATGAGAATGTGAAGGAAAAATCTTTGGAAACTGATTCTTGTAAAGTATTTAATGATGACGAAGGGTTTACTTCAAAGGCGAAAACGGAGGCAGGAAAGGAAAAGAGGTACATAGGGGTAAGGAAGCGGCCCTGGGGAAAGTATGCAGCGGAGATACGTGATTCCACGAGGCAAGGAGTGCGTGTATGGCTCGGAACATTTACTACTGCAGAGGAGGCTGCTTTGGCTTATGACCAAGCTGCATTTGTGATGCGAGGCCCATCGGCTCGCCTCAACTTTTATCCTGAAAGTGTATGCGAATCGCTTCATCAGAATGGTGGTGAGTCCTCCTCTTCCTCCTCCAACTGCACCTGCACCTCCTCTTCATCTCCAGCTGCGGCACTGAAAGAGAGAAACAAGATGAGAATGAAGTTGCTGACAAGTAGGAGGAGGAGGAATAATGAAAAAGAAGGAATAGTAGTGAAGCCTGGAGCAAATATGTCAATATTTGAATTTGAGGATCTAGGAGCTGAACTCTTAGATGAGCTCTTAAGCTCATCTGAGAGAGCTTCTCATAGTACTTGATTCAATTTACACCATTTTCATCACCCTCTCTATTATGTACTTTCATATCTTGCTCATCATCTATATGAATTTTGGATATTCACATTCATGATTGATTATTTACTCTCTCATCTACCTAAAATATTTCCTTTCAAAGCACTTCCACTATTTCCCTTTCTTGTGATTTTTACATAAAAGGCAAAATAGTTTTTAATATTGATTTAGCACTACTTAAGTAACAAAAATTTATAAAATTACATTAGGTTTTGTAAATCTAAAGTGCCCATTCCTGAGTTTAATGCATTCTCAGTGCTCTCTCATTCAGAGAAACTATCTAAAATGGACAATCTGTTTGATGTTTTCCATTTAATCCACATCCCTCCAAAGTTCAAGTGAAGGAGAATTAGAGAGGCTATCATGGAAAACCTCAAATTTTATGCCTTCTTTACAACCCAAAATTGGGACATTTAATTGCATAAAAGGAATTTTTCTCAAGAAACAATGCTCTATGAATTTCCATTAAAGAATAGAAGAGAAAGATTGTTTGGTTTAAGAGCCTCTCAAGTGTTTCAGGTGAAGTTGTGTCTGTCAAAAGCAAAATCAAGCTAGATTACTAAAATTTGTAGTTTTTCAATGTTTGATACTGTTCTAGTAAAATCAAAATACCTAATGTAAGTTGGGAACTTTCTAATAAGATGAAGGAAAATGCCAGTATCTAATCTTTTACTAATTTTTTCAGAAAGTTCCTTCACTCTACTATTCTTCTTCCTTTTTGACAGCTATATTCTTCTCCTTCTTCTGTTGCTTATTATTTCTCTTCCTTATTTATTTATTATTTTTATCACTAAATTTCTTTGTTATGTGTCTGTGTATGTAGAGTAGTTGTTGACATTTTATAGTCCTATAATTTGTTGGAATTTTCGACAAGCTCTTGTATCATTATTGAAAAAAATTCTACTGTATTTGAATTTTTCTTGCAACAAACGTTGGTGAGGTTTTCACTTCTACAATGTTTGAGGATTTGTTTCACGTCTTATTATTTGGGGACTTTTCATTTTCTCACCCATAGGAGCTTTTCACTTTTCTTCCCATAGATTAGGATAATTATAGACTCCTTAATGATTATAAATTTCCTTGGAACTATGAAAGATCTTGACTCATTCACACATTCTAATACATTTTCCCATCATTTTAGACCCTAAATATTTTGAAAATTTGAAATTACTTTTCCCAACACCCTAATTAGTAAATTTTAAATATTCATTTTCTAGAGATGTGAAAACTTCTTAAACTCCTTAAAGACATAGTTTAAATGCTTTTTCCTCTTGAACTTGAAATCTTCTGAATTTCCAGTACTCTTGAAAGAAACAATCTTTGTGGCAATTTATATGGATATGCTTGGCTTCAACGTGTTTTCTTGCATATGCTTTTGAATTTCTTTTTCCCACGAGCTTGCGGTGAATCTTCATATTCTTTCATTTCTTTATGCTTGTTGAACTTTTCTTTCACTTGATCTTGTGGATCAAAAATTTGCTCAATGCTTACACAACTTGTATCAAACATGAATCTCCTTACCAAAGTAAATATTTGAGATTTTTAGATTTTCATTATTCATGCTATCATACAAATATGGCCACATAGCCATTTAGTAGAGAAATCATTTTCTTCTTCAACTTTTTTTTTTTTTTGGGTGGTAGGTGAGAAATCTTTCTGTCTTAGCAACTGCATTATGTTATTGCCAACTTTCATAAGAATTGCATTGTCTTGCTTTTCAAATTTTTCATCTTTGACTTATGCAATTTTTTATTCTTTCAATCCAACATTTCATCCACTTCATTTCCTCATCTTTTTTTCTTTTTTCTTTTTTTTTTTAAACTTCTCTTCATTCTTTTCATTTACCATGTCCTCTTCTTTTCCATTTTCACTAACATTTCTACAAAATTTGGACACAATAATCAATTCCTAAAAATATTTTCTCTTAGTTATGAAAAATAAATGAAGTTTCTTTTATTATTATTTAATTTTTTTCATATCTGATTTGGTGACTTCATAATGTTTCCAAACTCTTCTTTATGTATTCATTCCTTAAGTGTCTTCGATGCACTTTATTTTTCTTCTCTATTTGTCTAACTTGCAATGGTTTGGGCTTATAATAACATCACACCATAAATTGCATGCTTAAAAATATATGCAAGTTTCAGCACTCCAAAAGTTATAATTGAAAAAACACAAAAATTTCAAAATATGTGATCAATTGAAAATTGATAAGATGGGCTTACCAACTCGGGGGTGCTAAGGTGCTTGTTTTGTTTCTTTGGTTGGTTCCTCACCAACTCTGGGGTGCTAGCAAATGATAGGATGGGTTCTTTGGTGCTAACCTAGTTAGGATGATTTAGCTCATCGTGATACTTTTGCACTTGCCTCTCTTTATTGGTATATTTTGTTTTGTACCTTATACTATATTCTTACATCAATAAAATCTCTTTTTTGCTGTTCAAAAAAAAAAAAAAAATTGAAAATTAGTAAGACTTGCTTCGCAGCTACACCAGCAACTACGGCTCCAACCTATGGCTCACCAGATGCGGCTCAATTTAGTTAGCAATTAGAGTTTGTTAGGATTGGTTTGTTAGCAAGTTGTTATACTGATCTGTTTTACTCATCTGTATAAATATACACTGTATCTGATCATAATTAAATATCAATGAAAGTTTCAATTGTCCAGCAAAAATGATCCATTATTTTCTTTTCTGTTATTGGAATTCGCTAGCTACCAAGACAAACTTGATTCTTCTCTAGTAGTTGCTCTATTTTTCTTTTTAAACCTAGTTTATGAACCCAACAAACAGTAATACCATGTTCGTGTTTTTGGCAAGCACTGACACCATTGTTTGAAAATTGGGGCTTTTGTTTACTCACTCCTGGAAGCTTTTCACTATTCTTCTCTTTCGCTTATACAACTCAACTCATGACACATTCATTCTTACACTAGGATAATGTTATACTCACTTCACAATGGTAGACAACCTTAGACCTTGACTTATTACCAACACAATATGACATTTTCTGCATCATTCAAAATATTTTGAAATTAATTTTTCCAACATAATTATTGTAAATGCCTAGAGCTTAAATACATATACATTTTGATCTAATAAACATTCTTTGTGCTATTATTCCTACTACCAGTGGCAGTTTTCCCTCACTCTATTATTTTTTTACTTCCCTTATCTTTGATATTATTTTGGGGAGTTTGGAATTCTCAAGTACAACTCTTGTTTATATAAGCCTCACTATCTAACTAACTCTGTAACCACCTGTCTAACAAACTCAAGTAGCCTGATGCTGATACATATGTTGATGCACTTGATCTTCTTTAGATTTAGCTAGAGCACTCTTTGATGTGATGATACACCTATCAAAAACTAGAACTCGAAAGATGAAATAAGGCGAAACACATATTTTAAGAACCATACAAATATTTTATGTTTAATTTTTAAATTTTTTATTTTTTTTTCGTTTTCTATATTTTTCATGATACTTCGAGTAATGAAACGGACCATTTGGATAAAACTAGCAAAATGCATGATATTGAAGTTTTTAGCCAACTGAATATCAACTAGGGCTTTCTTTATCTCTTTTAAGATTCTTGTATTTTGATATATTTTTATGAGACTATTTATTATCCAATGTATAATGTACTAATTTTTGTACTTTCTAATAAAATAAAAATAAAAAAATATATATCAGCTTGTTTTAATGTTGGTTGAAATCTTAATCAAGAAAATTTCACATGGACCTTGTTTTTTTCACTTAGTTGTCTTTGGTACCTGCAGGTGACCCTAGGCTATATATGTGTTGAATCTGAGTAGATGGTAGGCTTGTGGATGTTCCCATCCTGATGCATTATGATGTGACTCATATAATACATGATTTGCCTACAATCTGAAAATAATAATATAAATAATAGTTATAAGTGTATATACAGGGATATAGAACCTCTTTTGCAACTCAAATAGTGATATGTCTTACTAGTATCATTTATTTATGGACAATTTATATGGTATTTCATGTATTTATTTATTTATTTTGGTGTCAATTCGTTTCATATAGTTTTAATTTATTTAATTTGACTTTAAATTTTAAACTTTGTATTAATTCAGTCCAATCAATAATACATGTTAAGACAACACGTGACCATTTTCCAAAGATAAAATGTGTATTGTACTACTCTCTCCCTATTCTCTCTACAACACCAACACCAACGCTACCTACCTCTACCACAAAACATCTAATTGGTACAAGAATTTGCATTAATCATCGCCCTTGCCCTCAATTGTCATCTAATCTACCTTGATCTATCACTTATTAAAGAGAATTTGATCTGTTTATTCAACACTTTACAGATAGGTTTACAATCACTATTTATAGAGATAAGCTATCTCTTAACTATAACTCCTAACTACTTAACCTAACCAATCCAACTCTAGTTCTAACAAACTAATTACCTCCAAGCTTTAACTGAGCTGCAGCTCATACAGCTGCTGTCCTGTATCTGGCTTAGGCTGTTACAGCTAAGGAGATGATGAATCAGCTTTGAATGGATGCTGTTGCAGCTGAGGAGATGATTGATCAGCTTGAGGCTTATGTTTATCAGTCCCCCTCAAACTGAGGGAGTTAGGAAAGACCTGAAGTTTGTCCTGAAAATATTGAAATATGGAAACAGAGAGAGGCCTAGTGAGGACATATGCAATCTGATTAGTGGAGGCCATGTGGCAAATAGCAGGTTTCTTGGTAGCAACCCTCTCACGAACAAAATAATAGTCTACCTCAATATGTTTGGACCTTGCATGAAAGACTGGATTGTAGGCCAAGGCTATGGTAGACAAGTTATCACACCATAGAGTAGGAATATCCACAGAGACATGAAGTTCAGCAAGAAGCATGCCAATCCAGCTCAACTCAGCAGAAACTTGAGCTAAAGCACGATATTCAGCCTCAGAGGAGGATTTGGAAACAATTGGTTGCTTCTTAGCACACCAAGAGATGAGGTTGGAACCAAGAAACACACAATAGCCTGTAATGGATCTTCTATCAAGAGCACTGCTAGCCCAATCTGAGTCTGAAAAAGCATTAAGAACAAGA